AACAGCTGCTGACACGCCAGCCCCCCAGGGCGAAGGGGGGGCCCAGCGCCCTGACTGCCGCATTTCCACCCATGAAGCGTAAGTTCACATTTACTGCAACTCCTGGTAACCAACAAGAAATAAACTTTATTTTACAAAACACCGCTTGGACACGGGCTGCAGCTTTGGCCCCTGACAGCAGGAACACGCAGCGTCCTGGGAGCTCACCTGCTTGCAGGGGCTGCACACAGGACAAGGACGTGACCAGGAGGGAGAAGTGCCGGTCAGACATGACCAAAATCCATAAGCAAGAACCCAAACCGGTAAGTAAGCACTTTTAACATGGGAACAACCAACATTTAAGTACCGAAACAAAAAAATAATGTTTTTAAAGCCTCAAAGCTAGGAGGGAGAAATTCCAACTTACAAAGCAGAAAGAAATATGGGAAAAAAAAATCTAGGCAGATCACCTTGTCTAAATCTCTTCTTTTCCCCAGAAGCTCTGGGACTACGTGCTGCCGCTCTCCCACAAGGGACTGAGTGCAAATGGAGAAACAAACAATTCACAGTGTGGACAATTAAAACACATAAAAATAGCCACTGACAGGATTATCCTGTCATTTGACAAGACCTGAGCAAACTGCCATTTCATCAGCCCAGCAGGCTGGGATTCATTCTAGGAAGGCTGCAGTTTGCAGGTGGCAAAGGCAGTCCCAAGCCAGGCCGTTTCCCAGCGCGTGCAGTCAGGCTGTGCAGCCTCTGCCAACTGCAGACCTAAAGCTTGCAGCTACAGCTCGAGACACGAGGCTCCTCGGTTCTCATCAGGCGTGGTTTCCATCTGCTGCGGCAGCCTGGGGCACCAGGAGCCAGCGGGGCTCACCACGCCGGCCCCAGCACGCAGCAGGGACGAGCACAGCAGCCTCCCCACTGCTAGTGCTCTGGTCCACCTTTCAAAAGAAAAATAAGAAGGTTTTTGCACTGAAGGTCTTGTGGCTCCCAACTTCAGAGGATTCCCAGCTTTTTCATGGTCCGCCAGCGGTCCTTGATCATCACTGCCGTGCGGTTCTGGAAGGGGTACTTCTCGCAAATGGACTTCCACCTGCCTTCTCCAAACTTCTTCACGCCCTCTTTGATCCACTCACTCTCCTGTACGGTCCATTTCTACAAGAGAGCAGGAAAGCACCGCTCCGTGAGTGGAGTGCAGGCTCAGGGAGGAGCTGGGTTTGGTGGAGAACCGCGCTGCAGCTCCCGCCCAACATGTCAGCTTCCCTTTACCTGTCCTGTCCACAGCATGCACAGTGCTTGCTCACCACGGCACTGCAGGCGTGCTCTCACAACTGTTACAAGTCAGAGAAGTGCTAAGCTCAGGCTCGGGAGCAGTTCTGCTTCGCAAAGCGTGATACTGATCATGTGGAAGAGGAATTACCTTTCGATGAAGCAGCAAGCACGAGACACAAAGCGCTCGCTGTCTGCGCCCTGCCTCACAGAGGACAAGTTGGGTTTAAAAAAAAAAACCCTGCAAGTGCAGGTCTGCAGGTGCCCTGAATTTATGTACTGGAAGGAAAACATGAAATAAGTGAAGAAAGCAGTTACCGGGGACAAAGCGCTACGTGGTACAGAGCAGCACAAGAGCCAGCAGCAATCTTCCAAGGGTGAGAGAGTTCCTGGTAGCGCCAAACCTGGGGCCTCTTCCCAGGTAACGGCTGTTGTACGCGTGTCCCTTACCCCAAGAAGATGCTGAACCCCTCCAGCATGAGGAACTCAGCAAACCTCGTTCTGAGCCACGCGCATCAAGGAAAAGGGACATCGTGCACGTAACCAGTGCCTGGCATGTGGGAGGCTTTAGCCAGCTCCCAAACTGGGAGAAACTCCAGCCAGCTCGACCTGCACGACTGGGACCCAGCCTGGGCACTGCCAGCACTGGCCGCAGGAAGCCTCACTGCCCAACCCAGGCTCTGGTGCTCCACCAAAAGTGCAGCGGCGGCTTGCCCTGCTGTCGTGAACGGCAGGCTGCCGAGGAAGCGCTCTGAGCAGCAATCCTCACCAACCAATTTCAAACTGTCCAATAGTTTGCTCTTTTATACGGACACGTCCTGATTTCAGGCCTTATCGGAAGGATTTAAGGGCTCTACGTTACCTGTTTCTTGGAACCGAAGACTGTAGTGTTGTGGCTGTCTGCCCCCAGTGATGCTGAAAAACAAGGCACGAGGATTACATTTCACCACAACTCAGGAGATACAGACCTCCCCGAGAGAGCACGTGGGCTCAACCGCTGAACTGTGCGGTCAGCCTACAACAAGAACATCCCACGATGGACAATAAACCCAAATTCCTTTATCCCTCCCTTTTCTGCATGCACAGCCTTTCCTTTTCAAGCCCCAATTGCTGCATGTGAGAGCTTTCCCATTAGATCCGTTTTGTTTTAAACCAGCCAGTACATCAAGAGCAGGGAGTCCACCCAGGCTGGGCGACGCCGTGTGCTAGGCTGGAATCAGACACCCACCGTCTGCTCCTTTCCACCAGCTAAGCTGTGCATCCAGCTGCAAAGGGAACTGGCCTGGAGCACTGTGCTGGCTGAAAAGGTAAACTCGACCTTTAATTCACAGCACTAAAGTGGGAACAGGGAAGGAGCGGTATTTCCAGTGTTTCCGTGCTGTGAGCTCAGCACGATCACTCTGACACCTGGAGTTTTGCTGCACATTTCGGGTCAGAGGTACAGAGAACAGACACCTCAGAGCTGGACCTGCTGCCTTGGGCTTTTAGGAATTCTAGTTGCACAATTCAGTCACACAGAAGGTAGCAAGACATCCGTGAATGAGCCCCAGAGCAGGATTATCATCAATTACCACCTGCAGCAGGGCCTCAGGTCTTACCTGTGTCCGAGAAGAGCTCATCCTCCTCGCTCCAACTGTCTTTTACTTCTTCGCCATAGGAGCTGTTCCACCTTCCCTGGAAGGACCTGAAAGCAGGCAAGCATGTACTGCGGTTCCTGGCTCGGGGAAACGTTTCAGGGGGAGAAGGTGCAGAGCCTCCCGGAGCATAGCAGGAAGCCTGGGATGAGCGCACAGCACAGAGAAATGCGCCCAGAAAGCAATGTACAAACACGGCACCTCCTCCGCTCCTCCCTGAGTTGGGGTGAATCCCTAGGAGCTCAACGTACAGCGAGCGATACACACTCACACACACGTGGAGTGTTGTCACTTGCAGCCAGCGTTGGCAAAAACAAGTGACTGGATACTAACTATGCAGTAAAACACTCCGAGCAAACAGACACACGGCTGGGCTGCCCAGGCCCTCGCGTACAGCACAGCCCTGCCGACAGCTCAGGCCAGACGCCTTCAGCCTTCCCAAAAAGGATTTAATTTTGGATGTTTCACTCCTAACACTGCTGAGGTCGTCCGAGCTACAGAGGCCCCTCTGTGAGACCAGGTGCCTCAAGGCTGTCACCTGCCTGCCATCCTCAGGCACAAACTGGTGAGGTGAAACTAAGCCTGTCAAAAAAAACTTCAGAAGGTTCCCCCCGACTGTCACACCCATACAGCTGAAGCCGTGTGTGGTGACAGGAAAATAACTGTTCTCTAGTCATACTTGAAGATGCGCTGTTGAGCGCCTCTCTCTTGCACATAAACATTTCAGAGCCGGCAGAGATGCACAGGGTCACACTTCCAGACAGGCACCATTAGCACCACCACTGCCGTGACACCCACACGAGCAGCACAGGCAGCAAATCACTTCCCAGGGGAACTGGAAACCAGCTTGCATGCTGGCAGGGCTGAAGCTCCAGAACTGCTCAAGCCAGCAGCAGCAGCCCCGCTCCGGGCTCCTTCCTGATCCAGCACCAACCCTCGCTTTGGGCCCCTGGCGCAGGAGGGGAAGGCGTCACACCCCAGTCCCTGAGCCCGGCCCCTTCCCAGGGCAGTCAGCCACAGCACTCCGCTCTGGGAGCATTCACAGAGCATCCTCCCATCCCCGCAGCATTCCCCAGCACCCTCCGAATAAACTCAAGACATGTCCTAGGGCCAGCAGTGTCAGCTGCAACATACTACCGGGAAAAAGCAAAAGAGATCAAGTGTCAGCATTCGCACGTCCTGGAAAGAGGGGGAAATGTATTAAGTAAAATTCACAGAAGACCCAAGGAAGTGGACAACACGGGAGGGGTAGAAATCCCTTCTCAGCATCATCTCTGACAACTGGCTTAACCCTGAGCAAGACAGAGCAGCAAGGCATCGGGGAGATTTCCCCACCGTCTGCTGCAGCACATCTCCACCTGCAGCCACTCTCTTGTGCTCCAGAGACAGTCCAGCTCCAGAGCAGCCAAGCTACACAGAGCGCCAGGATCCCTCCAAAACCAAACCTGTATGTTCCTGACATTCTTAAGCCAGGAGCTAAGGGAAATTTATCTTTTCAAAGACATCAAGCTCTCCTCAGTCCTCCCAGTTTCACTTCTGGGGATCCAAAACTCCACTGTTGCTGGCTGCTACGTGTCTTCACTAAGCCCAAGAGGAGCAGCTCAGCCAGTTAAGCCAGAACCTTTGTCCCACCCTCGTTACGGCCTACAGGAGACACCCCTTGGACTCTTAGCTGACGATCCTCACACCAGTGTTAATTTCAGACTTCTGCCAGTAAGCCTCCCTGGCTGTTTTCTGTGGGAAATCCTTATAAAAAGGAACAAACCCCGACATGCCCCCGCCTCCTCTAGCGCGGCCGTTTCAGCTGCGAGGTAAGCGACAGCACACACTCAGCAAACAGGCAGAAAGCTACAACCAGGAGCTCCTTAACCAACACAGGCTTGGGGAGTAAAGAGCTTACGCAAGGTCTGCGTGGGATTTCTCAAGAGGTGGAAAAGAAAGTCTAATCTGTTCCGCAAGATGCACCTACAAACTTTTTCCAGGTTCAACATTGCTACCCATAGCGCAGAGAAACACGTGTATCACCCACCAACACCAACCGCAGCACCTCTGACCCACGGCCAGGGGAAGCCAGCTCATTTTCTCCCCTCTGTTAACCAAACAGGAAAGGGTCAGGGCAACAGAGCATCTGCTGTGCCCTGCTCCACCTGCGCGAGCGGACAAGGACGGTCAATATACTCATCCTGCATTAAAGATGAAGGATTTTGTTGTTCATGTGACCGATGTCAGCTGCAAGTCAAAAGGTTGGGCACAGATTAGGGTATACCACAAAAGACGGGCTTCATACTTGGCACTCTTGGCAGATACAGGCTGGTCATGCAATTTCTGAACAGGTCTGGAAGCAGAAGACACAACTGGCTCCTGGGAAGAGTCTGGGGTCTCACTCGACTCGCTGTACTGGCTGTCTTGCTCCATGACCAGTTTGCTTATGGTCAACAAGCGTTTGCCCTTATGGGATATTTCAGGAGGGTCTGAGACCTCAGAATCTTGATTCTCCTCTTCTTTCCGTCTCTTCGTTCTGTGGGATACAGAAGGAGACAGTTGCTTGGGGAAAGAAAAGTCTGTTTCGTCCAGTTTGGTGAAGAGTGCGTCAGAATCCTGGGAGTTCGACAGGATCTTGAAAGCTTCTCTCAGAACAGAAATCCCATATGTGGTTACAGTTCCGGAGGGCTGCCTACAAAATAAACAGAACTGAGTAGGTTGGAAAGATATCGCCAAGGTGGCTCCACTTCACTGAAATCAGGCTCTTCCCCTACGCTCTGACCCTCCACAACTGCCTCTAGGTGCAAAGAAAAACTATTGAAGAGGGCATTCCCAACCCTTCAGCCCACCCTCCTGCTAAACAACACGGCGTACTGGGGAAGCACGTCTGGAGAGAACATGCCCAGGCTCCACGCACCACCGGACACCCTGCTGCTCTTGATTAAGGGCTGAACCACACGGATAACGCTGCTCCGCGAGAGCAAACCTTCTGGCAGCCACTGCCCTTCCTCTCTAGTCTACAAAACTTTTTTCTCAAAAAAACCCCAAGCCACCTTAACATTATGGTGTTCCAGCCAGAAGCCTTACACCGCCATTCCCTGGGGCGTGCCTGTGCAGAGCTGCCCGGGCTGGCCTTCGGGGAAATTGAGAGCTGCCTGCACAGAGCAAACTACCCCTCAGAAGAGATCCGCTGTCAAACTTCATCCACAGCGCAGGGCCAGATTCCTCTGCCCACCTTGCCGAGTCCCTGAAGGATGCTCCTGGAAGTTCCTGAGCTGCTGCTGGTTCTTTGGCTATTTCCATAGGCTCTGAGGCATCTTCCACATGATTAACCGCTGCCGTTATATGCTCAGGAGTTGCGGCTGGGTCTGTAGCACCTTCCATAGGCTCGGGAGCTGCTGCAGAGTCACTAGCTTCTTCCATGGGCTCAGGAGCTGCTGCAGCGGTGTCTGCGCTCTCTGCGGGCTTGGGAGCTCTCCCCAGGTCTTGGGCTGTCTCTGCAGGCTCTGGAGCTCCTGCTGGGCCACCGGTCCCTCCCGAGGGCTCCGGAGCTGCTGCCTCCTCCCTTGGTCCCTTTGCAGACTCAGGAGTTGCCGATGAGCATTTTGGTTCTTCAGCACATTCTGAATTCAAAGTCTTTTTCATTATCTGGGACAGAGAATAAGCATGATAGAGATGAGCGTTATAGAGATGATCTCCCACACTACCACCCGATTTTATCCCCCCCGCAAAGGTGTATTAAGCTGCTACTTGTGGTTCAATCAGCACCGCGTACAGAGTTCGTGTCTATCCATTAAAATAGATTGAGAACTGTGTTCAACTGTATAAACCTTTTAGGACAGGCTGAATTTAAAATATTTTGGATTTAACCACTGTAAATTAGGTGCCTAAACTCTAACGCACTGCTGGCACAGAAGGCACGGAGGAGCCAGATTCCTGTATTTCACTGCCTCGTGGCAAAGCGTCAGTTATCCCCACATCTGCATCTCGTGCCGCTTCCCCGCTGCCCCTCGCTGGGGCAGAAGCTGGCGCAGGACAGAAGCCGGGCAGACACGCACCGTTAGCAGCAGGGGCTCCGAGTCATCCATGTAGGTCTTCAGGAACTGGAACATGCTCTGCTGGAAGTTCTTGTAAGAGAAGTTTTTGACTATCGGGTGAGTTAAATTCTTCTCCCGGATGATGGTCAGCAACTCGTTTCTCTTTTTCTAGAGGGGGGTAAGAATGCTCTGAGCAGGTACAAGGGTACAAACGACAACCGCAGGAGATGGGACCCAGGGGAGGACTGGGCCTCTCCTATTTGACACTCTCCAGGCACAACTACTTCACACCAACATAAGGCTGGGAAAAGGCCGGAGCAACAGGAGAAACATCGTGTTTCAGCAGCTATGACTTCTTGCCTCCAGTGCCCAAGACACGATGCTGCCTCTTTCTATGAACACGCGCGCGCTACGTGTGAGCTTGAGCTTGCTGCAGGGCGAAGGAAGAACGCTGATGCCTGGCAGACCCGTGAAGATACGCGAGGGAATGGGACAGAGGGAGCTGCACAATGACGATGGATGTGCTTTAGAAATGCCTGACACTGGGGCCCATCAGTCAAGGACTCTCCATTTTGGCACCCTTACCCTTGCTTCTTGTTCAGGTTTCCCCAAGACGCGTGCTTCCCAAGGAAACCTTTTAGGCCTGCGATATGAGTCCCAGATGCCCCTCTCCTTCCCTCCACCCCCCAATACCCCATAAGACATTTCACACCACCCCAAATATCCCGCAGGACATATCCCACAGCCCTCAAACAGCCATCTTTCATCCTGGCGCAGACTCACCTGGCTCTTGGGGTCTTTCCCCATATGCCTCTTGAAAATTTTTGAAGCTTTATCAAACTCTCTGCTTTTGATGCAGACAATAACAGCCTACAGAGGAAAACAAAGACCAGTTTCTCTGTTGACACTGAACTGACCACACTCTTTAGATCAGCTTTGGAAAAGCAGGTACAATAATCGAGCATGGCACAGAGGTAACGGCTTACTGCCGGCTTACACAGAGAAACAGCTCCCACGTTAAATGACGCAGAAGCACGTACGCTGAAGGCAGGCGTTCGCGGTACTAACTGGGGCATTTTACACGTGAGGCAATTCCCACTGTCACTTACACAAGACCTTTCCAAGACAAAAGATGAGCAGAGTATTAATTGAAAAAGAAAAAGGTCTTACAGCTTCCTTCAGCATTTTCTGAATGGTTTCCATCGTCTTCTCAGCCACGGAGAATTCCCTCTCAATGAGCTTCAAGACACTGATCGCCGATTCGAGGGGAGTGAGATCCGACTCTTTATCGAAGGTGCAATCTACGAGAATTCACAGCCGCTGGTTCGTGAGGCACTTGTGGGGATGCCTTGCAGAGAACTAGTTACCTAATTTCCTCAGCGTGACTGCAGATTCTAGAGCTACCAGTGACGAAGATGGGAGGGAACGGCAGGCAGACTGCCAAGCATCTAACCTCTGCAAGATCCCCCCACAGGCACGGAAAGCTACAGAAGCACCACCTGACTGCACATAACTGACTCAGGGGGGCATTTCAGAAGGTCTGGGGACTGTTTTCAAACACCGGGACAGCGCCGGAGCTTGGGCTTGAGCACAGTGCTCTTGGCTAAGGCAGCAGCCCGTCACTTGCTGTGGCAGCGCAATGCAGACATGAACAGCCACGCTCTTTGGCCCCTCACCCCCGGGGAAAGCTCCCACAGGCTAACAGCTCCGGTCCCGCTCCCTGCTCTGGGCAGACACACAGCTCCCGGGGCCCCAGGACAGGGCACACCCCGCCTGGGGGAGCGGCGGGCCCCCCCCCGCCGGGGGGAGCGGGCTGCGAGCCACCACAGGGACCTCCCCAGAGCCTCACCGGGCGGGCTGGGCACTCACCCAGGTTCTCGCCTTCCTCGATCCGCGCCAGGAACTGCATCACGCGCAGCTTCTGGGCCACCGCGGGCTCCTTCTC